AAACTGCTATTAATTGGGGGCTAAAATTAGCCTCTTCTTTATGTCATGGGTGTTAGACATCCTGTCTTGTAATAAGGAAAGTAACCAAGACAGGCTGTATCTCAAATCCTCACCCTGGCCAGAGTAAGCCATGTGGCCAAACCCAACTTCAAGGGGAAAAGCAAGGGCAAACCCACTTAGCACTCAAAAGGAAAAGCTCTAGTGATTGGTGGATGACCCCACACCCACGATGTTGGCGGCCACTGGGCAGAGTACCAAAGGCCTCCACCTGAACATAGCGATCTTTCTTAAAATATGAATGAAAATATTGATAGAATTGGAAAGAAGTATGAAATACAAATGACCTTTATTTTAAGAATGCAGGGAGAGATCCCCCGACCCACCGGGGTCCGGAATTGTCTCCAGGGTCTGGCATTCTCTCCGTTGGACGTGGAGTTGGGGCATACATGTAGCTTAGGTTTGGGGTGGAGCCTAAGGGGCATTAGTGATGCACAGGTAGCCCATTGGTATTCATTTTGCACCACAGGTAAATTCCTAGGGGTGGGGAAGATAGAGCTCAAGATAGAGCCTCTTGGTTCTGCCTCCAAGGCTTTACGGGCAACAGTGTCCAGCCTAGGGCAAGATTCTTTCAAATATGAAATTTCATTTTGCAGGAGGATGCTTACACAGGTATCCTCCTGCAAACGGGTGTTTTCTATCTTACTCTGTATGTACTATTTTAGTCTTTTTCAAAACTGACATTAGGGGGTTAGGAGTGCAGCTCAGAAGTGTGGTCTTGGCCTTTCGTGTAGGAGGACCTGGGTTTGATCCACGGCAACACACACACACACCAAAGCCTGCGAGCCTAATGTTTTACGAAGACTTCGTTTCCATTTTTCCTTCTATTCTTTTTCTGTTCTTTCTTTCTTTCCTCCTCCTTCTACCCCTGCTCCCTTTCTCATTGGAATACTTTCTTCCAATTCCCCACTCTCTGTTATACATTTTGGTTCTTATTTGCACTTAAGATTTCTTACCCCAGAGAAACCACCCTGCATTGACACGCGTGTGTCTGATTTATTTCCCTTAGGAGTATGGTCTCAAGACACATCCATTTAGCTACAAATGTCTCAAGCTTGTATCCCCTCATGGCAGAGTAGAACTCCAGTGTATAAAAAAGCCACATCTTCCTTATCTACTATCAGTTGATGGGCATTTGGGCTGTTTCCAAGATTTAGCTGTTACAAACTGTATCACTATAAACATGGGTGTGCATGCATCTCTGTGGTACAGTGTTTATAATTCTTTCAGGAAGATGCCAAGGGGCAGAATAGCTGGTTGAATGGAAGCACTAATCCTAATTTTCTGAAGAATCTCAACATTGATTTCTACAGTGTTTGCATCAGTCTACACCCCCACCCACAGTGCAGAAGGGTTCCTTTTCCCACAGCCCCACTAAAATTTGTTATTGGTTGATTTCTTGATAATAGCCATGCTTCCGATGTGAGATAGAATCTCAGTGTTGTTTTACTTTGTATCTCTCGAATGACCAGTGATACTAAACATTTTTTCATATATTTATTTGCCCTTTCTACTTCTTCATCTGAGAAGTGTCCATTTCAGATGCCCATTTTTGGATTGGGGCTTTACATTTGGTGGGGTTCTGATTTTTTGAGGTTCTTTATATATTCTAGATGTTAGTCCTTTGTCTGAGGGACACCAGACAACATTTTTTTGCCACAGTGTGAGGTGTCTCTTTGTGCTGTTAGTGATTTCTCTTACTGTGCAAATTCTTTATAACAAGATAAGATCCCTGTTGTTGATTCTTTGTGATAGTTCCTGTTGTGCGATTTGGGTTTTCTTCATAAAGTCTTTGCCTACCTGAATATCTTCAAGAGTTCTATCTTTTCATTATTACAACAGATTTAATATTTCTGTTTTAATGTATAGATCTTTGATCCATTTCGAGTTTAATTCAGCAAGGGAGGAAGGTATAGTGAAAGACACGGGTCTAATCTTTGGCATGTGGAAAGTCAGTTTTTCCAGCACCATTTATTCAGTGAAGGTGTTTGGCTCCTTTGTCAAAGATAAAATAGCCGAGTACAAGTGCCTCTGGACTTGTTTTTGTTTTGTTTTGTTTTTTGTTGTTTTCTTTTTTATCATTACCAGGGATTGAACTCACGACTGCCTGCTTGCAAGGCAGGTGCTTATGCCACTGAGCTAAATCCCCAGCCCCTGGACTTGTTTTTCTATCTTCTAATCTATTCCATCGATCCTTGGGCCAGTGTTTTTGCAAGTACCATGCTGTTTTTATCACAGTAAGTTTGTAGCATAACTTCAAGTCAGGGATTGTGATGCCCCCTGGCTTGCCTTTGTTGCTCAGAATTGCCTTTGCTATTCTAGGTCTCTTCTGATTCTAAATCAACTTTAGGATCATTTTCTTTAATTCTGTGAGATATGACCTTGGGATTTTGGTCAGGATTGCATTAAATCTGTACAATGGTTTTGGACCTACGGACATTTTCACTATGAAGGTTCTTCCTACCCAAGAGCACAGAATATTTTTCCATTTTCTTTTTTTTTAGTACTGGGTATCAAACTCAGATCCTCACACTTGCTAGGCAGGCGTTTACATCACTGAGCTAAATCCCCAGTGCTCTTTCCATTTTCTGATATCCTCTTTGATCTCCTTTTGCAGAGCACTGTAGTTTCCAATGCAGAGGCCTTTGTTTCCTGCATTAGACTGATTTCCAGATATTTCATCCTTTGGGATGCTATTGTCAGAGGTGCTGTTTCCCTGATTTCCCTCTCAGTGAGTTTGGTCTTTGTGTACATGAAGGCTATTGATTTTTGAGTGTTAACTTTATATCCAACTATGCTACTGAATTTGGTTATTAAATCTAGAAGTCTTTTGGTGGCGTTTTTGGAGTCCTCCAGGTAGAGTATCATGTTATTCCCAAATAATGACAATTTAATTTCTCCTTTGCCATCCTCACTTCTTTCTTTTGTTTAACTGCTCTCAGCCTAATTTTTTAAAGAGAGAGACTATTAATGGGGCATTAATTTGGGGAGTTTTTTTTCTGACTGTTTTGATTTTATTTTGCCTATTAAAACAGGGCTTGGTATGTAGTACAGGCCAGCATTAAGCTCACTATGTAGTCCAGACCAGACTCAGAGTTGCAGTGATTCTCCTGCCTTAGCCTTTCAAGTGCAGGGATTACTGGTGGGTGCCACCACACCTGGCAATGGAGGATTAATATTAAATATTTATTTAAATATTTATCTCTTTCCTGGAGCCAGAGTGTCTTTCATGGTATCAAATGGAACTTGGAGAGAAGAATCCGGGGGGGGGGGGGTTATGTGGCTTCTTTCTGCTCAGCAGGGTGGGAAAGATCCTGACCAGAGCTTCTGGGTGGTGGCCAGGTGTGCGGCACTGCAGACGCCAAGTGTGTCCTCCTCTTGGTGGCAGCCAGGGCTCTTCCAGGCCTCTCAGTCACCTCTGTCCTCCAGGCCCAGAACCTGCCACAGGGCGGCTCCCTACTGTGTGTTTAATGCAGGACTCTGGAGGACTCACTTGTGTTTAAATGATGAACTACTTCAGAGCGAGAGCCACGTCCTCCTGTCTCTCAGCTGCCCTCTGGAAGCAATCAATAAACAAGCACAGCTCCACTTCTCTCTGCAGAGGCCGGTGGGGCAGCTCCTCTGCAGGGTTTAGTTCATTTGTGCACCTGCACTGGTTAATGTGTGACTATCTATGCCTGTGACCAATTGATCCAGTTTCCTGACATTTTGCTCAGTTTTTACACCACAAGCCCTGTGTCCTAGGAGCCCCTGAGTCTCAGGCAACCAATGAAGGCAGTCACCATGGCAAATTCCTTCCCTGTGCACCTCAATCTCCCGCCTCGTCTTCATCTGAGACAGCTGGATGCAGTCTGACCTCTGCATTTCAGACCTAAGGGCTTACAACAACCAAGAGCTGGCACAGTGCAGCTCCCCAGGGGCCCTGATGCCAACACTGGAGGCTGCTGTGTGCCACCACCAGATGCCACAGTTGCCAGTTGCTGCTCTGTGGGCTCCTGGTCTCGAGCTCTCAGGGATGCCAGGCCCCAGCATTCCAGGCTTTCTTGGAAAGCAACCATCCCATCCTCACTACTCAGGATAAGACAGTGGACTTAGAGGACCTTCCAAGCCCACACTGCCTGAGGAATAAACCATAAGCAGGGGCACAGGACCCCCAGAGGGGCTTTGCTGGAACATGACCCACTCTGCAGCAGGAAGTACCCGCCTGTATCAAGCTGGGAAGTGTGAGGTGAGCCCTGTTATATAGCAGATCAGGCCTGGGATTGGCCCACATTTGGGCCTGCTGATTGGTCCAAACTGGCCTGAACTGGCATTTTCCAATCGAAGCACACTGATTGGTCCAAATTCAATTCTCCTGCTTACTCTAAGCTTGAGCCTGCTTAGGTCAGGGCAGACACCTTGTAGACCAGGATGGGGCGTCCAGGACCAGAGCAGCTGTCACAGATGAGGTTCATGGAACACTGCATGATGCTGTGTGTTGGACAGCTGTCACATCTCCATGAAAACTGTCAGGACCAACCCAGGGAAACTTCAGGAGGGCACCCTGTGTTAGTCACAGCTGCCTGGGGTTGGAGAGGTGGGGATGTTGATGTGGCCCAAATGGCTCCCTGATGTCGGCCACTTTTGCCGAGAGGTGACCACAGACTGCAAGGTCTGGAGAGGGGCAGGGGCACTGGCAGCTGGGCTGCACCTCGGGTGAGGGCTGCTGGGGCTGGGGAGGGAGGGCACTGAAGTCACGGAGGCCAGCTGTGCCAGTGCAGCCTTATGGGGAGGGGGACACTAAGGAGGATCAAAGGGAAGCATGAGGCAGACAAGTGACAGCCTTCCACTAACCACACGCCCTGTGGCAGACACGGGGAAGGGGGACAGTCGGGTGCTGCTTGTCTGTCCCATCACAGGTCCGAGAGAAAGGGGAGAGACAAAGTAGAGGAAAGACTCGGGGCTAGCAGAGAGGCCTTTATTTTTTATTTTTTTTTAAAATTTGGTACCAGGGATCAAACTCACGACCTTGCACTTGCCAGGCAGGCGCTTATGCCGCTGAGCTAAATCCCAGAGAAACCTTTCTTCTTTATGGAGGAGGTGCGATCGGCGCGGCCAGCCGGGCTCTGCTCCTAGTTGTTGGCTATGGTCTGTGGGAAGGCAGGCATGAGGCCGCAGAGGCGTGGTGAGGAGCACGGGCAGTGAAGCAGGGTGGAACTGGGCCCGGCCTCAGCTCTGCCACCCCACCAGCTGTGGGGCCCTCGGGGGCACTGGACCTCCCTGAGCCTCAGTTTCTTTACCCCTGAAGTAGGCATAGTGCCAGTGTTTTCCTCACGGGGTCCTCGATGGCGCTATGAACTCGTGTTCCCGTGCCAGTGCCCCGTTGTATTTGGTTTCTGTGGTGCCCTGGTGGCTGCACCCCGTGCTGTGTCCTCACCAGCCCTTGCTACTTCCTCATGTTTGGTTTTCAGCACCGCACACTAATCTCTGGGGCCTTTGGGTTGAGCGACTTCCCCAGCCCACCCCCACCTGATCTTTCAGTTTTTGAGACAGGGGTCTATTAAGTTGCTAAATTGCCCAAGTTGGCCTCAAACTTAGGCTCCTCCTGCCTCAGCCTCCCAGGGTGCTGGGGTTGTAGGTGTGGACCACCATGCCCAGCTGTGGCACAGGTGTGAGCGGCCTGGAGAGCACGGTCACTGCCATTCTCATGAACCATCTTACTTGTCTTGGACTGACTGTCCCCAGTGAGGAACTAGTTCTATATTCTCACAGGGGCCTCCATGTCGCCATCACGGCTGTCACCACCTCTCATGGGTCTAGAGGCCCTGTGTCTGGGTGACGAGGAAGACACACAGGAGCCACACAGTCACCCCTGATAACTAAGGAAGCTCAGCACTGGGGCTCACAGCTCTGCCCAGAAGCCAGGGAGGTTCTCAGGTCCTGCAGAAAACACCTGCCCTCCAGAATGGCCTCGGGCACCTGCTCTGCCTGCAGGAGCCTCTGCCCTCCTCAGGGTCCGGGGCCCTCCCTGAAGCCCTCTGAACTCACCTGCTGGATCCAGTCAGTGAAGGCTGAGACGCGGGTGAACACTGTGGGCTTCTGCAGAGTGTTGCAGCCCAAGCCAGAAACAAAGCTGGTCACGCCGTGCACCTGCCAGGTGCCTTCCTTGGTAGGGCAGTTGAGGGGTCCTCCAGAGTCACCCTGGAATTGCCAGACAGGGTGGAGGGCTTAGCTGTGTGTGTGACTTAGTGCATTGGGGTTGACTTTTTGGAATCTGTGGCATAGGTGTTTTGTGATCATCAAGAAAAAAATTCCTCTTTCAAGATTTCGTGTGGATCACATGGGATGATGGTGATCCTAGTGCCCAGTGGGGAGAAAGTGCTCAAGAAATGGCAGCTCAAGGGGCTGAGGATTTAGCTCAGCGGCATAAGTGCCTGCCTTGCAAGCAGGCAATCGTGAGTTCAATCCCTGGTACCGATAAAAAGGAAAAAGACCAAAAAAAAAAAAAAAAAAAAGAAAGAAAAAAGAAAAAGAAATGGCAGCTCCTGTGCCTGGTGCTACAGTTAATTACCAGTGTCACTGTTCAAACTCATAGTTCAGTAAAAACATTCTTACTTAATTCTCTCTCTTTTCTTTTTTTTCTATTTTCAGTGCTGGGGATTCAAACCCAATGCTAGACAAGTGGTCTACCACTCAGCTGCATCCTGAACTTTCTGAACCCCCTGAAAGGGTTTTTTTCTGTGTGTGCATGTTTGGTTTTTTTAATTGGTACTGGGGATCGAACTCACAACAGCACACTTGCAAGGCAGCTGCTTATGTAGTATGTAGCTGAGCTAAATCCCCAACCCTATGTGCATGTTTTTGATACAGGCTCTCGCTGTGTATTTCAGATTGGCTGGCTGGCCTCAAATTCACTGTGATCTCCCGCCTCAGCCTCCCAAGTGCTAGGATTCCAGGAGTACCCTACCATTACTGGCCTTGTATGTGAATATGTAATTATAGCTCAGGACCATAGAGAAGGTGTGACTTGGAGGTGTCAGAGGGCAGTGCCCTTGTTGTGTACATGGAGGAACTGGAATCTGTCTCCTATCTACCAGACCTGGGCTCCATACTGACTCTCTCCCTGTCCTGCCATGTCTTCCCAAGGTGGCAAGAAGGGACTTCATGGGGTGGACTCACATTGCAACCAGACTGCTCGCCGCCACCAGCGCACACCATGGTCTTCCTCACGTTAAAACCCCACCAGGTCAGCTTGGAGCAGTGTGCATAGTCCACCACAGGAAGCAGGGCCACCTGCAGCTTGTCTGGGAGGGGCCCATCAGCTGCAGGGACAGAGAAAGGTGAGTGGGGAACAAGGAGCCAGGAGTTTCACAGTGCGGGACACAGAGCACACCCCACTCCTGGCATGGGGGGCCCATACGTTCCTGCATGACTTATTCACCAATAACCAGACTAGTGTGTCTTTCCTCCCACAGCCCCAGGCTTGGCTTTTTGTCCCTGTGCCTGGGCTTGTAGAGGGCTCAGCACGTACTGTAGAGACGGCCCCAGCCAGTGATGTAGCAGGGTTCCTCGTGGGGCAGGATGGAATCAGCAGGAGGGAGGCTGGCGACCTGGACTGCGCCCCCAAGCCGGGCACTTCGTGAGAGCTTGATCAGCGCAAGGTCGTTGCTGGAGAAGAGGAAGAGTCACATGGATCCTGGGCCTCCACTGGGCCAGCTAAATCGGCTCCCCACCACCAGCTCTGAGGACTCTTTTTTTTTTTTCTTCCTGGAACTGGGGACTGAACCCATGGTCCTCACACTGAACTACACTCTCCACTCTTTTCTTTTTCCACTTCCTTTCCTTTGAGACAGGGTCTCACTAAATTGCTAAGATGCCCAGAGTACAAGCAAACTCAACCCTCTTGCCTCAGCGTGCCTTAGTGCTGTGATCACAGGCATGGGCAACAATAATGGCCAGGCCAAGAGGCTATGAGCGCCCCCCCCACCCCCGCTCACACTGACCTTTGACCTTCATAATGGAGGGTTCCCCTGGGTGCTTAAATTCCCCCAGTGAGAGCCACTTGGAGAGCTCTGCATGCAGCAACTGCTGGGTCCTGCTCAGCCTTGCCGAGGCCCTGGGTCTCCACAAAGCCTGAGAATCCAGGTGGCTAACAGGTTCCCAGGGTTGCACTGATGCTGCTGCCCTGGGGCCACACTGTGAGCAATAGAACTCTGTCTTCACTGCCTGCTGATTCTGCAAGTCACTTCCCTGGGTCTGAGCTGTCTCTGCTCACCTAGGAGCCCCTGATGGGGCGGGGTCCTGCTCATCACAGCGCCTCAAGCCTACTCTGCTAGTCCAGGTCCACGCCCTCCTCTACCTGCTCCCCAGAGAAACTGCAGCACCCACACATTCAATTGTGCCTGCACCGAGGGCTTAAGACGGACCCCTTCGCCCTCACAGCCAGCCCTGAAGACTTGCTTCATGGTCACGCCATGACACATGGCAAAACTGCCACAGGGAAAGGTCACTCGGGAGTGGGCTCTCAGGCCAGTGCTCCTTCTGTTGCCCATGCTGCTGGGGCCAGAAGGCACCAGTGCACGTGGTCACAAGGAGGAACCTTGGAGCTGGAAGGGAGCAGGGGCCAGGGGACTCCTGGGTTCTTGGGGTAACTGGCCCTCCTTGGGTCCTGCTGCCCGTATGTAGGAGGAGGAGTCAGATGTCATGGTCCTTAAAGGCTCCCCATGCTCAAGCCTGAGTGGGCCTTTGCTGTGGGTTGGGGATCAGGCTCTCAGGGCTTGGAGGGACAAGTGGAGGGGCCCCTTGGGGCATGACCTGGGACCCCACTCACCCACAGGCCACACAGTTGCTGTTCCATTTCGGGTGCACAAAGAGGTCGCCCTTGTTGATGGGGATCACCTGCTCAGGTCCCTCCTTCACAGACCGGTCATACTCGCCCAGCACCACTTGATAGGTCAGAGAGCTCCTGTGGGTGGAAGCCAGGTGGGTCCAGGCCTGTGGCCAATTGGCTCCTCTCCTTCATCCACCCACATCCCAGCTGGCCAGGTCTCACCAGAGACAAGAGCTGGGAGGGCCCGGGGACCGGTGACTGAACTCACGAGATGCAGTGGCCTGCAGTCAGGACCCAGTTGGGGGCAACGAGGCTGCCACCGCAGGTGTGATGGTAGGCCCCATTCCTCTCATACTGCAAGGAGACCTGGTGGGCAGTGAGGAAAGGGGGCCTGAGTGTCCTGGGCCCCACAGCAGGGCCTGTCCGCCATGTCTTTATCCATGCTGCCCTGTGCAACTCTAAGGGCCCTGTTCCCGTGGAAAAGAATGGCACCCTCTGAAATGTGCAGTGCACAATCTATTTAACTGCTCATGGCTGTCCTGTCTCTCTCCACTGGGATTACATTCTGATTCACCAGAGCCCCCACACCCTACACTCTACAACCCCTCTGTGGACTCCTGGACTCTCCCTCTAGGGTGTCCCCAACCCTTTTTGAGAACCCTCAAGGTCTCTCTCAGGCTCTGCCATTCTTCTGGGCCTTACGTCCTTCAAGGCCTCCTGCATCTGCTGAAGCCCAACTCATCCTGAGTCCTATCTCTCTTCTCCTTCCCCACACATGTCATTTCCTAAAGCTCCCTGCACAGCAAGGGTCGGCAGACACTCTCAGGGGGCCACATCTGGCCCATAGGAGTTGGTTTTGCTTGGCTTTTATTGTCTCCTATACTGGGGACTGAACCCAGGGCCTTTGCACTCACCGATGTCTGAGGCCCTTTATTTGAGTGCTGAGACACTGTCTCACTGAGTCACTTAGTAGTAAGATGGTTTGGAGTGGATGCAGGCGCATTCCTCTCCCGTGCCACAGCTGCTTTCAGGACATGGTGGTGTCAGTATGAGTTCCCGGTACAGATGGATGCCTTGTGTTTGGGAAGTTTACCCTGTGATCCTCTCAGGGTGGGGCTGCGTCCTCACCCAGGCAAAGCTTCCACCACCGTGGACATATCCTAGATCTCTGCTGTCTCCTGTGGCCACTGCCCTCACGTGGCTCTTGAGTATTTGAATGAGGCTGGCACTGAAGATCTGAAGTCTAACCTTCCTTCATTTAGATTAAACTGAGACAGCCCCTGTGGCTGGGGACGCTGTGATTGACAGCAGAGTGGGTGTAGCTCTCTGTGCTCCCCTCAATGCGCCCTGCAGAGCCCCGCACCCCCAGGGTACATGCCTGTAACGCCAGCTAGCAGGGAGGCTCAGGCACAGGATGGGAAGTCTATGCTTGCTGAGGCTGTGTTGTGAGACCCTGTTTCAAAGTTTCATTTTAAAAAAAATGTATGCTGTGTACCGTGGCCTATAACCCCATGACTTAGGAGGCAGAGGCAGGTGGATCACTGCTGCAAGTTTGAAGCCAGCCTTGGGCTGCATAGCAAGGTCAAGGCCAGTTTGAACTACATGGAGAGATCCTGTCCCAAAAACCAAAAATAAACTATTTAATTAAATTAAACTTTTTTAAATTAAAATTTTTACAAAGCTGGGTCAGAGATGCATAGCGTTGTGGCTCAGGTAGACTATTTGCCAGGAATGCTCAAGGTCCTGGGTTCCATTCCCAGCACCAGCAAGTCATGAACAAAAGAAACCCTCATCTTTTTAGGTTCTTAGGCTTTAGAGCCCTGATGTAGAATTTGAGGAATCCAGAACCAAGTCCCTCGGCCTCTTCCTCCTCGAAGCTCACTATTACTGTGCCAGCCCTGTAAATCCTGCCCTCTCCACAGACTCCCTCCGCACTGCTGAGAGCCCAGCTCAGGCCCTAGGCTGAATGGATGAAGCCCCCAGGGGAAGCAGACTGTGCAGAGCTTTCTGGGCCTGGGGACGCCGGAGTGGGATATGGATAGGAAGCGCGTCCCATGGGGTCACCAGGCCTTGGTGGCCAGAGTGTGTGGAGGGCAGCAAGTACCTGGTCCAGCTCTTACCTGCCAGGGCCAGCTGTAGGGAACAGCGTCCTCACCATTGACCACGCGCCCAGAGGGGCTGTAGATGGTTCGGCCTGAGACTAGAGGAGAGATCGGGTGACATTCAGCCAGAGGCTGTCCAGAAGGAAGGAGAAGGCCAGTGTCCCATGCCCGGGGTGTGTGTGGTGTCCCACGTGGGCTCCTTTCCTTCACTGGTCTGCAGTACCACATTGGAATGGGCATTTGGAGCAGGGCAGGGCTTTCCAGAGCCCCAGGAGCCCAAGGTCTTCTTCCAAGGCGTAGGGGACAGTGCCTGTAGGGCTTCCTCAAAAATGGAAGCCACTGTCACCAAGAGCGGCCACTTTAAAATAATCCTGCCCGGGCTCAGATGCAGCCTGCAGCTTATTGAAGGACTCACGCCTTCAGCGCTCTGAGGGTCAGTTTGCCCATCTGTAGAAGGGCTATTATTGCACTGATTTCATGGGCCTGTGATGAGAATTAAATGAGCTAATCTAAGAAGAACCTGGCAGCATCCTGCCTGCCATATAGAAAACCCTCAGTAAACGTTACTTCAAACTCATCGTTCATTCAGCCAGCCGACTCGGGGGCGATGGCCATGAGCCAGGATGGAAGCGGGCAGAGAGAGAGCAGGACAAGTGCGGAACACAAAGTCTCTTATATGTGAGACAGCTCCCAGCCTCTCCCCTGGCCTGCTCCATCCACCGCTCCTCCAGCCCCACTCCTGCTGTGACTCCACAATCATGCCCGGCACACACTGAGACTTCACCTGTGGAATGGGGTATCGGGTCTGTCTGGACCCTGAGCAGCTGAGGCACAGGAACCCCAGGCTGAGGCTGGCTCTTACCTAGGGCCACAAGCAGAAGGGAAGTTAGCAACCGGAGCATCGTGAGCTTTGAGATGATGGGAAAGCAACCCAGACCCAGGGTCTGATATAAGGCAGAGTGCAGAGGGAGGGGCTGGGCCGGGCACCATTCCCAACACAGGTGGCGGCATATCAGGGCCCCCAGGGCCCAAGGCCATGCTGCCTCCCTCTGTGCATGGAGGAGGAACAACCAATAGGAGGACCAGGTGACTGCACAGGTGGCACTGAGTAGCCTGCTGATAACCGAGAAACGGAAGACGCTTTGCGTCAGAACCTGCCAGGCTGCTTTGGAAAAGAACATGGGCCTTGAGGCTGGCCAGGCCTGGATTCAAATCCTGCCTCTGCCACATCCACACTCTGTGCCCCTAGGAAGGTAGATTAACCTGGTCTCCAATGGGTTTCATGTCCTCTGCCTTAATTAGCATAACTGTGCTGAGCACTTTCCCTGCCTACCTCAGGCTCTGTGCTGGGGCTCAGCTGGGAATAGGACCTGGTCCGGGTTCTCCTGGGGCTTAGCTCGAGGGGCACAGAGAAAGATAAACCAGCCAAGATCCATGGAGGGTGTTTTCAACTGTGGTGGCAGCAGAAGCTGCAGCGAAGGAAATAGAGGTGATTGTGGTAGGGGTGGGAGCAACCCCTGTAGCTGCAGTGTCTCAAAAAGTGACATGGGACAGAGAGGGGGCATTTGACTGAATCAGAATGGATAACTAAATGTAGCACAAGGAGGGTCTGGGGACAAAACCTACGGGTGGAAAGATTGGCAGGGGACACGTGACAAGGTCTCAGGTGGAATGCACCTGGCTCCTTCAAGAACAGAGAGGCCAGCATGAGGCCAGAGACACAGCCTGCAGCTGGAGACTCGCGTGGCCACAGCTGCACTGTGAGTGCCCACTGCTTCCAAAGCTGGCCAGGGAGTCCAGTGGGTGAAGATGAAGGTGTCCACGCTGCCCACCTTCAGTCCCCAGAGACACAGAGGGCTCACGCTCCATCCATGAGTGGTTGGGGGCCTGGCGTATGCTCTCCTGATGGAATATTAATCAGCAGTGGAAAGAAGCAAATCTCACAGCCATCACCGTGATGTCAACACAAAACTTTTTCAGGACCTTCAAATCTTCCTCCAAACTTTCTGCCCCTAGAGGTTTGCCTTTTCTGGAGTCTGACATTCAAACAGAATCTCTCAGTGGACAGCAGGTCCCCTTAGCTTCCGGGTGTCTTTCTGATTTATCCTTGTCAGATGTGGTGAGGAAGGGTTTAAGAGCATTATTGAAAATAGCTGTACCTTCCACTAACTAAAAGTGACTCGTGATTGGACAGTGCTGCTTTTTCATGGGTTGGTAGTGAGAGGACTGAGGACTATGATTAATGTTATTCTGCTTCTCCTAACTGAAATTAGAGAAAGACGGACAGACAGACAGAGATTAGATTCTGGAGGACATCTTTGCAGATCAGAGGAGTGAGGAGTTGGGACTTTGTTCTAAGCATAAGGACTAAGGCATGGGTTTGTGGGGAGGTGACATAGAGGAGAAGGACCTGGAATCTCAAGTGTACTTTGAAGCAAGTTCTTCCTTGGCCCAGGTGTCATAGAGGAGAAGGAACTGGAATCTCAAGTGTACTTTGAAGCAAGTTCTTCCTTGGCCCAGGTGTGGTGGCACATGCCCATAACCCCAGGAATCTGGAGGCTGAGGCAGAAAGATCCCAAGTTGTCACACGACAAGGGCCTGTCTCAAGAGACAAAACTAAACAAAACCGTTTCCTCCGAGGCCGGGTGCTGCAGCATGGTAGGGATGAGGAGGGTGAGGCTGACCGCTGGACCCCTTCAGTGACCTGGGCACAGAGCTAGGGGTGGAGGCTCCGCTTGAGTGGTGGAGGCGGCTTCTGAGAGGGAAGGGTGGCATCAGGGTGACTTTAGGGGAGGAAGTGTCTGAGGTGTGTCTGTGGAGCAGGGAGCACAGTGCCTGGTGCTCTGTCCCTTGGCTGTGGAAGGCACTCAGTCCTTCCTCGCTGGCCGAGGGCAGCAGCCTCCTGGCCTGGCATGTTATGAGTGCCGCACAATTGCTGAGTGAGTGAAGGGCCCACTGCTCAGGCTGCCCCCAGAACGCCTCGGCAGCCTCCCTCAGGTGCTGGGCTTCCTGCTGCCTGGAGGGCTCAAGTTGGGGATGATGCCTGGTGGACCCCTCATAGTGGAAGGTGGGCATATGGCTGGGTGGTTCGTGCTGAGGAATGGATCCCTCCAGCAACCCAGGAGGACATCTGCCCCTGTGCTAGTGTGGGCCAGGGAAGTGTGAGCACACGTGTGAAGCAGCTGTGAAAATCTTGGGATAAAAATAGCTGTGCCCTCACTTGCTCTGTTCTGTGAATCTGCACAGGTTTATTTGTTCAGCTTTTGCACTCAGAGCCCTTCCCCATGCCCTGGAGGGAGGGGCCCAGGAGCTGGCTGGTGGACAGATGAGCAGGTAACAAGCCCCAGCTTCTACTGAAGAAGGCTTGGAGTGGACAGGACCTGGGAAGACCATCTTTGTACCCTCTACCATCAGACAGATGGGGACACTATCCCAGAGAGAAGCAAGGACTTCCTTGAGGTCCCCTGGCTTGTCACTGCCGGGCCTGGCAGAGGCCAACCCCCAGTGTCAAACAGGAATCACCCCCAGTGTTCATCCAGGTGGCCTTGAGCACATGCAGCCATGGTGCCAGATCCATAAACAGACTCGCAGCCACATGGCCCTCTGCTGGCTTTGGGGTGAGATCACCCCCTCTGAGGCCAACCAGGCATCGGGCTCCTCGCCAGGCTTGTCCAGGTTTTAAGGCTTCGTGCAAATATCACCAGCTTTGCTGCTGATGAAATTTGAGAAAGTGGGGTACAGGTGTAGCCCTGGCCCATCCCAGAAGAGAGAGCAGGCAGGAGAGAAGAGGTGTTCTATGCACGCCAGACCTTAGTCCTCTGCAAAAAAGCTACTGGAAAATCTAGAGGCGGTGGGAAGGAGCTAGAGGCTGGGGCACTTGGGAGCCATTATCCTAATTCCTGCTCAGTAGGGATCTCCCTGAATGGTAGAAGTGTAATCCCCAGTGTCCACCCAGATGCTTGCCTGCAGTCCTAGCACTTGGGAAACTGAGGCTGGTGAGATACTGCAAGTCCAATTCCAGTGTGGGATACATTGTGGGCCCCTGTCTCTAAATAAATAAATAAATTCCCACTGCCTAGAAGGGAGCCTGGCACCTAGGAGGTGTTCAGATTCTAAAGTTAGCATATTTCCTACAGGAGGTCAGGAGTGAAGCTACAATGCAATGGTCTCTCCAAGTGTCCTCTTGTTGGGAGCCGCAGCCCCGAGCCCGGTCGCCTCACTTGGCGGACGTGAGGCCTGTAGTAAAGAGCAAAGCCTGAGGTAGATTACCCCTCCCATCGAGCACGTTAGTTTCCTGTTTACCGTAAGCAACCCGCTCAACAATATAGTCTGCCTGGCAACTGATGATGTTAGCCAATCAGCTTGCCTTGCTTACTTTAACATGATTGGACACTGTATCCGTGTATATATACTGGTGCCACCCCTGGGGGGGAAGAAGAAGCCCGGAAGTAGAAGCCCAGAAGGAGCCGCGGAGAGCGGACCGGTAGAGGCTTCAGAGCGAAGCCCAGAAGGAGCCGCGGGGAGCGGACCAGAGGAGGCTTCGGCTGGGAGCGATCCCAGGGCAGGCTGTACGGAGAAGGAAAATAAAAGAAAAGGTTGTCCACTGCCAGACTTTGTCGTGTGTCCTTCCTGCCGGCCGGGAGCGGACATCGACATCCTCTTACTCCTACCCTGACAGGACAGTTGACTGTGACATTCACACACAGCACAGTTGGAGGCCGCTTCACCTGCCATGCGTCCCAGGGAATGTCCTTGGCAGCCCTGCATGGTGGCCTTGAGTTCTGTGATAAATGGTCCCACTTGGGCAGAGCCGCACAGGGCAGGAGGCTTTGTCTGCTTGGTTCACCACGGAGGCCTCAGCTCTCCAGCCAGAACCCAGGGGGCACTTGGTAAAGAATCAAAGGTCCCCTGAGATTGGGAAGTAATACAGTCAGTGCTCAGACGGTTCTTTCTATAGGGCTTTCCAGAGCCTTTTACGTGCCTATATTCATCGTGACTTAACCCGGGACTTTCTGGGGCCTCATCGCCCTCTATTTGCCCAGATGCCAGCCCAGCCCTCAGGTGGGCAGCCCAGTCTACAAGGGGTGAAAGAGGTGCCGGCTTAGGAGGTCCATCTGTGACACAGGAAGCTACTGATGGGCCCAGGCCTGGGACATGCACAGGTGGCTCTCATCCCACGGAAGGTGCCACCACCTCAGCTGGGCCCAGAGGGGTTTGCCTCCTTGCCCAGTGTCCTGCCTTCCAGGGTTGAGCAGCACAGGGTAGGCAAAAGCTTCCTGCTTCTGAAGCCCCATCCCACCCACCCTAGAGTCTACCACAAACACACATACAGCGAGTATTGGC